CGTTGGGAAACAAAATTCAAAACTACGTCATAGTCACGTGTAACAGTTTTGAGATTACGTGACAAATTTGAGAAGCTAGGAACTTGTTTCCGGTATTTTCTCCCTTCTTTCTGCATGCCTTCGTGTTGTAACGGTAGCACACTCGGCGCGTATTCGAGAGGTCCAGGTTCCAGTCCCGGCGAGGGTATTGCTAATTTTTTCACGTCTCCATCATCAAACTAACTTAAGGGGATACGTACACCTTAAAACCCATAAGATCTTCGACTATGTGACTGTTGCAAGAATTGGGATAACTTATTTACTTTAAAAGCAATTACTTCCAACTTTTTACAGCTGACTACATAATATAGCTGCTTTCTGAAATAGTTATCAGAAAGCTTGTGTTGCCACAAATATTTTTCTTATTTAATCCACTTTGTGACGAAAAGTTTCGTCATGTTTCCAACTTGCGCGCACAGTTTAAAACATTCTGTTGCATAATTTAATTCCATATTTAATATATAGCTTTTATAACATTTGGAAACTACTGTGAACCAAAAATTCTAAGAATTTCATGTTAAATTTTTATTTTATTTGGGGTCAAGTTCATAAAATGTATTTTATTAAAAAAATCTGTAATGTTTTCGTGCATAAATTTTTGTACTATTAAAATATTCATCAGATTTTTGGTTCAGTTAGAAAATAGTGCCCATATACAGAATTCCATCGAATTTCAAGTATGTACCACTAGCCATTTTTAAAATATCATTTGCGCAAGGTGGAAAAATGACGAAAAATTTTGTCATAGAGCTGATTAAATTACAAAAATATTTGTGGCAACAAAAACTTTCTGGTTACTAGTTTCCAAAGCAGCTATATTATGTAGTCAGCTGTAAAAAGTTGGAAGTATTTGCTTTTAAAATAAATAAAATATCTCAATTTTTGCAGCAGTCACATCATTTGAAGCTCATAAGGGGTTAAGGTGTATAAGCCCCCTTAATGAGTCTACTTTGCCGTCTGAACCAAAAGGTGGTGGATGATGATTCTTCACCACCAGGACTTGTTAACCTTTTGAGGCTGGGGCTTTGGTAGCAGTAAAAGCTACCAAAGAACGGGGAATCTAGAACCGAATGCTTTCCGCCTTTAAGAAATCACCTCCTATTTGCAACAAAGATTCTTGTGTGTAGTTTAATGGAGTCTCAGAGGGGTTCATCTATGTCGCAAAAGAAAGACCTTTGAAAGAGATAAGTGGTTAAAACCCTAGGGACGTCAAATTTGACATTTCACCCCACTTTTCAGTCTGGAAAATGGGGTAAAAAGACATGGCCACGAAAGTGGATAACCCCGTCTTTTCAAAGAGGGCTCTATGCCCACTATAATGGCCATTCCGTCTTCAAAAGTTTAAAACGTTTATAAGCAGTAAATACAGTGGATGGACAAAAATATGGAAACACCTTGTGAAATGCATGTTTGAAAAGAAAGATTGATTTTAATGAAATATGTAGGTGGCGCTAGCGTTTTTGACCACTAACGCCACCTATACAACTTCGTAAATGTGATAACAGTTCAGTTGTTGTCGGAGTACTGTTATGTGAGGTTTGTCATTGCATTATGTCAGAGTTAACAGACTTCGAACGTGGGCAAATTGTTGGAGCATGTATGGTAGGTGCTTCCATAAGCAAGGTAGCCGAGGTGTTTAGTGTTTCAAGAGGTGTCTAAGATTTATTCCGCATATTTGAAAAGCGGAAAAACATCATCTGCTAAATCACAGCGCGGACGAAAGTGTCTCCTGACTAGTCGTGACAGACGATTATTAAGGGCAATTGTGAAGAAAAATAAAAAGACCACATCTGCAAAAATTACTGCTGAAATGAATGATGTGTTACCGAACCCTGTGAGTACCGAAACAATTAGAAGAGAGCTTCATAAACAGGGAATTGCTGGCCGTGCTGCTATTGAGAAGCCACTCATCGGTGATGCTAATGCCCGTAACAGGAAGAGATGGTGTTTAAGTCATAAAGCCTGGACTATAGAGCAGTGGAAGCGAGTAATATGGTCTGACGATTCTTCTTTCACATTGTTTCCCACTTCTGGCCGAGTTCACGTCTGGAGAACGCCATCTCGAGCCTATAATACAGACTGCTTGTTGCCAAGAGTGAAACATGGCGGGGGTTCTCTTATGGTTTGGGCAACCATTTCGTGGTTCTCTGCTAGCCCCATGATAATTGTGTCAGGGCACATGACTGCCAAGACTTATGTGAAGATTTTGGCCGATCAAGTTCATCCCATGGTAGAAACTTTGTTCCCCGATGGTGATGGTGCCTTCCAAGACGACAAAGCCTCAGTTCACACAGCTCACATTGTCCAGGACTGGATTTCTGAGCACGAGGATGAGTTGTCCCGTCTCCCCTGGCCACCATAGTCACCAGACTTGAATATTATCGAACCTTTGTGATCTACATTGGAACGGAAAGTGCGTTCTCGTTATCCACCGCCAACATCGTTATCTGAACTCGCCACCGTTTTCCAGGAAAATGAAAAGATGGTATAATTTCCCTTGGCAAACATACAGGAACTGTATTTATCCATTCCGAGAAGACTGCAAGCTGTTTTGGATGCCAACGGGTTTCCTACACCATATTAAGCAAAGAAACGTGTTTTCTTAAAGGTGTTTCCATATTTTTGTCCAATCCTTGTAATTGGAAACCTTTTACAATAAAGGGACCAAAGGTTGATTTCATAACTAGTAACCAGAAGTGATCCAAGCCTTATGATGTAATACAAAATTAATTTGTTTGGATTTATATAATTACGGAAAGTTTTTGTTTTTGAATTTGTATGTGCTGGAATCTAATTATCACAATCCACCGATACAATCAAGCGTAATCAAAATAATCTTCTAAGGATTACGATTTTCATCATCAAAATGGATCATTGCGGAAATGTATAGCAAAATTAAATAAAGTATCTTCCTGAAAAGTCTCCATCTTTTTTCCTTTTTACCTTTTTCATTAAGCAGCTATCTTATATCCATCATAATCATCTTGTATCCTTCTGAGAGAACCCCGGGGGATGCAATCTTGAGAAAAAAGAATATAATCTTCCTTCCTAAGATTAATTCTTATCATTATTTGAACCTAAACGTAAGAACGCGTCTTCACGCCAAAGAATAGCTTTCGAGAGATTAGTAAAGAAAACTAAATGCGATTCTAGGTTTGTTTCATCTTTTTAATTGCTTCTCTATTATAAAATAAAATCGTATTTGACAGTGAGCATAATATTATTTTTTATTAGTTAATTATGGTAAAGGCTTTTTCATTGTCGCTTGCCGAGGAGAAAAAGCTTCCTAAAAAGTGTTTTTTCATTTCTTTGCACATAAGGAAAATCATGCAAATAAGCGTGAAATCAATCATTTCCTTCTGCAAGGTTCAGGACGGAGCAATAATAAGATTCTCGTATGTGTCTTTACATTTTTCCCGAAATTAGATTTTTTTCGGGACTATTCTTGGGAATCTGAAACTCTGTATAAAGTATTTTTAACGTAATGAAAATACAATAGTTCTCCAAGAAAGATATTGGGATAAGTTATCATAATTTGTAATCCTATGAATAAAGAACGAATGTATATGTTACCGTGAAAGACCGAAATTGGAGAATGTCGACTTTCACCGGAGAATGTCAACATTCACCAAGTACGTCGGTGAAGATCGAATATTTCTTTACATTCTTGTACATTCGGACCCTCACCGGTGCATGTCGACAATCACAGATATGCTCTGGTGTAGGTCGAAAAGAGAGGAGTTTATGTACACTCTGCCATTCCAAAAGGAAGTGTTCCACAAATAAATGCAGTTGTAAAAGCAAAGGCCTCTTGTGCAATTCAAAGTGTCATAATAGTTTAAGTTGTTGCAATAAATAAGATTTGAATCACATAATTTGGTAAGTTTATAACTTCTATTATTTTCCTTTCTCATTTTGAATGTACTGTGTGTTTTAAGTTCTTATGTTCTTAAGTTCTTATTCTGAGTCTCAAGTGCGTTTTTTCGCGAATGAATTACGGAGAAGAAAATATAATATTCTTATATGTTCAACATTCACCATTAGCACATTGTGAATGTCGACATTCACCGGTGAAACTAAGAAATAAGAGTATTTGGAAAATATTTCGGACATACACCAAGCGACTATGTGAATGTTGACATTCATCGGTGAAAGTCGACATTCTCCAGATTTTGGTCTTTCACGGTAACATATACATCCCTTGACAATGCAAAAATGTATGTAATTTAAAGTAAAGCAAGCAGAGATTCCGTATACTTATTTAGTAAAGCATATAAATTTGAAGAACTTATTTTATTGTGACTTTATTTCCGCATAATATAAGAAAAATGTCAGCTCAAATGCAAGGAAATATTTTTTATAACAAAGTATTCTCAAGAAAAATGGATAGAAGGATAAATAATATGTAAAAGTTAAGATAATTTGCAAATTATTTCTGTTTTTAGGAAAACTATTGAGCCAAAGGTATGTATTATGCCGCCACAAGACTTATGCAAATATTCAAAGTTGAATACTTAAGTATACGCGGGAGTGCGGGAGTGTCTATAGATCCGGGATTGTAGAGGGGATATAAGGTCACTACAGGTTTCCGACGATATTTATTTCCGACGACGCTTGTCAAGGACGTAACAATAGCTTTGAGAGTAGCCAAAAGGCAGACGCGCGCAACTCAGAAACTCTGATTCTCTCTATAACTGAGCAAGTAGACTTCGCGGTTTGAATACCGCTCCTCCTCATTAAGTATTCAGATTCGATTCCAAAACTACGTTATGGCCGGAAGTAGTAAGTTGAAGTTAAGAATTTTACAGGAAAGGAACTTTAACTTAAAATTTAACTGTTAATAAAATAAACATAATCATTACAAGAATAATGCTATACATAAATCTAATATATATCCTAAATCACGCTTTGAAAAAGGCAAGCTAAATTTCGTCAGTCAGGCTAGTTGACTAGGAGATAGAGAACTGTCCCTTTTTTGTTTGCAGAGTGCATTTTTGTGTCATTCTTTTTTTCTGAAGAGTAAAATATCAATCTATCTCCTAGGGTTCCACTGGGTAATGTTCTATGGCCAAACTATTGACAGGTTCGGCTTATTAAAAGTTGCAAAAAACTGCTCAAGTATGACACAAAAGTATGAAGCAAAGAAATTAGCTCCTAGCCGTTTCCTAAACATTAAAGTTAAAAAAAATGGAAGGTTTCAATAATAAATATGAAAGCAGCGTAAGGAACGTTTACGTAAGTAAGTAAAAGATAGCATCCGATTGTAAGCTTGAATCTGCAGCAAACTCTCATTTAATTACATCTAATTAAATTTCGTGAAGTTTCTACTTTTATTTTGAGTATATTTCGATCTGTAAAGCGATTAATGACAAAGCTTTCAGGATAACGAAGACTACTTAGTATGAAAAATACTATCAAAGTACTTTTAAAGAATAAAATCTTGCTCTTCAAATCTTAGTTTACAAAAATAAATAAAATTTAGAAAATAAGGATTTAAGAAATGTCTGTCTTTTTAAACTTAAGCGGAGTTTATGTATTTACTGGAATGTAATTCAGTTGGAATTAATCTTACTAAGCTGCGAACTTATTTCGGAAGGAAAAACGCTAATGTCACAGCTGCTTGTTAAAATTAATTCCCACAGAATCTAACTTACGTTGCATGAACAGAAGAAAACACTTCAACCTTTCTCGATATTTCTTATTCTTTTCAACAAATAACAGGCTAATCAACCATTAACAAAATGCATTTCAATCAAAACTAAAACAATCGTTCCTCGTATCTGAACTTTAATACGAATGAGCGAATAATTCTTCAAAAAATTGGAATTTATGTTTATTTAACGACAGAAGTAACTTTAAAAAAATGTGATTTTTCAAATTGGAAATAAAAGCTGCATTGAATATTTTTTAGTTATTAGTTGTATCGTATATCTAGCGAATCGGAAGAATTTTGTTTCGACAAATGTTTTTCTTTTTAAAGCGTTATCATTATTTTCGTCTCCACGAAAAACATTTTTATAGCTTTCTGGTTAATGCATATTGTCATTGAAAGCAACTTGGTTCTAGTTTAACAAATATGTTAAGACTTTTTAACTTTGCTCTTTTGTTCTTTTGCAAATGGATTTTAAATATCCGACATTTAAGTATTTTATGTCGTTGACCATAATTTTGCATTTATGATCAATGTTGAATTTTTAGCTTGAAATCCTTTTTAAAAAAAAAAAAATTCGACCTCTTTAATAAATTCTCTTACCAAATAGAATAAGAAACTAATATGCTAAATCAGGTAATGGTAAAAGGAAAAATATTAGTGCATTTTTTAAAAAAAAATTACCGTTACATTTGCCTTACTTACTTCCAAAAAGCGTTTGCTTTGGTAGTTTTATGTTCGTTATTTATTGCTTCCTTTTTGGTTCGTCAGGTCTTCCCTAGTTTGCCATACGTTTGCATCTTCATAAAAAATAACTAACTAACTAAACTCTGTACCCAATCCGGGAACTAAATCACACTTTGGAGACTGATACAAAGCATCAGTCGGTGCGTCACCCTAAGATGACGATCGAACACTCTTGCTGGGCCCAGGGATCTCACAACTCCGAGACACCAACACTTTTAAGGCTCCCTCTTTACCACAGCTAAACACGGGCCATTCAGAACCACCGTCCCGGCTCGGACCGAGACCACGTGGGGTGGGTTTGAGAACTTGGAGCGATGACTGGCCGTTCATTATGGCTACCTGCCAGCACTACGCGGGATGACCCTCTCCTTAGGCTTTACATGGAATACCAAGCCGTGACCAGATTCTCAAGGGTCCAGTTTGCTATTTGGCTACCAGTTGCTATGTTATGCTCTGGTGGATGAGGACTTACACCTGTTGGCCTATGAAGAGTGAGTATAAACCCACCTCATAGACCATCGGAAACCGCCAAGTTCATAAATTTTATACCCCCGTGGCCGAGACTGTCTAGGTACAGATACTTCGCACAGTACTCTACGTCGATCCCCGGGGGGGCATAATATAATAAAACATAAAACTGAATAATGAAAAGTCGTAGTTATATTTAAGAAGTTTCATTACAATAAATATGATGTTTCTCACACATTTGTAAAGGTATTAGAGACAACTGAGGGAATCAAAGAGTAAGGGTGTCTCAGGAAAATGGAACTGTATTCTTTTATTCACACCGTCGTATTTAAAGGTATTCTGATGGTGTAGCATGAAAGATGCTCTACCGAATTTAATACCTTTTATTCAAAGACATTATAAAGAGGTAAGTGTTATATTTCTACAGGAATTATCTAAATACAACAAAATTCACACTGTTTAGGAATTTCAGACTGAAGATGTAGAAATTTCAGGTATTCAGAAATATAATCATGAATATCTGAAATATGAACTATTTTACAATATTCTGTCATACATAACTTGATTATCTTTTCCTCACGGAAAGTATTTCAATATATCTTTGCATACTAATTAAATGTTGCTTGTCTAACATGGTAACGTTCTGCGCTTATCTCTTCTGATAGATAATGCCCTAACAACTTTATGTCAATTGTAAATCAATAACCATCGCGAATAAATTTCTGTATCATGCGTATAATCTCGAGCCTTAATTTACTAGGCGATTTGTACGTATGATCCGCAAAACACATATATTTTCCTTCTTTCCCTTTACAACACATACATTCTTCTGAGAATGGCTTTCAAAGTCCGCATAAAGTCTCTTTCAGAGTACGTGTATACGCTATTTCGTTGATGAGTGTTTTTTCATATGTATTTTTTAAACTCTTCCTTAGATTGATGAAGAAATTTCCTTCATTAGATTCGCTTCCTTAGATTGATGAATAAAGTGATAAAATTTGTCGAAATGAGAAATTCGGAAGTTATTAGCATTTTTAATAAAGGCATGTTTTACAAACAGAAACAAGTGTATCACGGCATTTTTACTATAAAAGTGATTCTTTGTTTTTCTTTCGAAATTCTTTGAAGACTTCTTTTGCCATTTCGAACTTAAATTTTTCCATATATATATATATATATATATATATACATTTTTAGTGTCTTACACGTTTCGTCTGAGTTTGCAATCAAATCAATAAATTTAAAAACATCTATTGAAATAACGTGTATTGTTTAATTATTTTTTTACACTTCATACGTATTATTCTTTTCAAATAATGTATTCATGAACTATTTTCTACAGGTTGAAGGTGAAAGTTATTTATCAACCGGTTCAGAGATGATTATTCGACATCGTTTCCTCTCTGTAACATCGGAGTTGCTAACAAGTTCAACTAGTTCCTTCACTGCACGCTATGAGTTTGTGGACATGAATCAACAAGGGGCACCCATCGACCATTCAGAATGCGACAGGCGGATAGACAGTAGAATTGCCAAGCAAGGTTTTATCACTAATCCACGCAATGTGTTCTTATACGGAAGGGGTGGACGCCGAAATATCACATGCATGTTTCATTTCGTTGGTCTTCCCTCTGAGAGAGTGAAGATAACACTGAAGAAGGCTAGACTGAAGAATAATGGAACCACCTGCCGGTTGTATTTCGATTCCGTGCAGCAGAGGCATGGTTGCAAGATGATGTCAAATCAGCAGTCATTTCAAGTCCCTCCTGGATGGGCTTTAATCGTGGCGGCTGAGTACTGGGCAGGGTACTCTTTCCCTGTAGGATGCATATGCGATTCAGTCCTAGAGGGCGATCAGCAGCCCATAATATTCGAATCTCTGATAAGCAATGTTAAACTAAAATTTGAAGTAGTGGGTATGTCTCATTTGGAAGATTTTGAAGATTATTTCTTCGAGGCAGACTATGAATTTATAAATTATACGACATGTGATAGCGGGTTGCGGAGACAGATGGGACCAAGTGGAGATGGTGTGTTGTCCTTTCGTGTAACCAGCAAATCCTTTTTCTCTGAGGTGCCTTCATCTTCTGGACCGATCAGGTGCAGATGGCAAATAGAAGCATCGCCGCATAAGCATCTGTACTTGAAGTTTAAGGGATTTAACGCTTCTGCTGTAGAAGGTAAAATTCCTTTTCTTTTAATGCTGTTTATAGTTTTAAAGCAATAAAACCCCCTTCTGTATTTGTCAATGTTTGGTAAGTAATGTTTAGTTATTTGAGAAAAATATTAGTTTAAACTGCTTGTCGTACTTTGGAGCCAGTTCATAACAAAATACATTTTATTGTGAAATGAATTTAAATACAACAAAATTTACATTGTTTAGGATTTTCAGACTGAAGATGTAAAGAGTTCAGGTATTCAGAAATATAATCATGAATATCTGAAATATGGACTTTTTTACAATTATTAAATGTTGTGAAGTGGCTTTCACAACATTTAATAATTGTAAAAAAGTCCATATTTCAGATAAGGTGTTCAAAATATAAGGTGTTCAAAATCTTAAAGAATTTTAAATTGGCACAACAAATCATGGGTACTTTAAAAGGAACCGCTCTCAATTCAGTTAGTGAAGGTAATGGGGAACATTTACTGTTGGAATTGAATGTATTTGAACTGCTTCCTGTTTGAAAATTATTTAATAGTGTAGAATCGGTACTTACTGTCTAGGAATATGATGTTTGTAAACTTACTTCCGATGTGGCTGTCTAGGGGCTAATAAACTAGTCCGATTTATGTAAAACTTGATTTAATGAAACACGAATAGTTGCTACAAACACAAAGTAATTACATGCTAGAAGGAATAGATGAGATTATTTACAGATGAATAGAATCGACTGTTTTTTACATGTAAACATCTTTCAGTCGCGTCATCGTCTTAATGGCGGAATCGTCTGACTTCTATCATCGGAAAAGTAAAAGATTTATTCTCATAGCTTGTCGCGTCATCCGATTATAATGAACGATGCCATCCCACAATGGCATTTAAACATCTATCATGTGATTATTTTTTAGCACTTTGATTTTTTATTTCAATATTTCTTTTATGGTTTTAATTCAGAGTATTTATCATTATTATCTTAATTGCTATATGGAGATATTTCTCATTTTTATTTTATTAAATTTATTTATTTATTTATTTTCTGTAACCTTTCGTAACTCTGAATAATGTGAGAGATAATTACATTCCGTGTTTGCGTTTTAAGCGTTACTTCCTTTTCTAAGCCTATGTATTGAGGGGCGCGTGGAGTAATATTAAAAAAACTGATTAAAAAAAACTTAATGATCGCATCACTTCTCGTTTCTTCAGAATCAAGTAAGATTAAGCTGCTGTTTATTTATTTACATGTTTTTAGTTGTTTTCGTTGATTAAAAAAATTACAGTAAAGAGCACATATTTTGAAAGTAATATTGAATTTATTATTCTAGTTAAATTTAATTGGAGTTTTATTTAAGCAAATAAAAGATCCTTCATTTTTTTAAATAAAAAATAACCCTTTTACTCATTGAATTTTAGATGGTATGTATGAGACGTAATGTCATAGCTTTATTTCATTAACACAGAAATAGGCTTTTTTATTTAGATTTCAAAAACCACTGTCTGAGTGTTGCGAAAAAAATGTGTTTTCTATTTTATTATACTGCAAGAAAAACATTTTTACAAGTTTTAATCTTTGCTGAAGCAAAACGATTTTAAAAGATCGAATAGAATTATCTCTACTCGCATTGCAGTAATTTATGTTTAACCAGCGATCCAGTTCCAGCAAGAATAACGCTGAGATGTTCTGATGGGCGAAAATTGAGAAAGAAGTGTAAAAATTATCATAAAAGCAGAATAAATACACAGAACCGACCAGAAGATTAATAAGGAGATTGCTTAAAATCAGATACCAGAAAACACATAAACATACATAGTAAAATATACTGTGGACGTGTAAGAATAGTGGGCCTTTAGCACATCAGAGAATATTATTTCATGCCCATCGGCAATGCATCCTGCTCATTTCAGAAGAAACTATTGCATTGCACAGGCAATCTATGCTTAACATTTCAAAGAAAGCTTTTGCATAGTGCATATCGGTTTGGACGACGTTGAGGTGCAGGCGTAGTGTGGTACTACCAGCTTATACATAAAGAATATATAGATCACTAAAGATCGATCGGACTACTGGAAAGTTGGAAGACGTTTGAACCCAAAGAGGTTCAGTCATTGGTAACCGCTAGTTCTCTACTTTGTATGTGTCTTTCCGAGGTGTTATGCGACTTGAGTTCCTCTTCATGGATGATGGCATTATATTTCATCCTAACAGTGATTCTCGCTGAGCTCTTCGAAAGTAGAGTTTCGCCGCATGGAGTGGCTCCGAAGGATCTAACTTCCGCTGAACATTGCGAGATGTTCTCGAGAGATGCCTGTTAGTTGTTCAGCAATGAGTCCTCAACAGCAATGGACGCTGCAAAAGGAATGGTTCAGGATGCCTCAAAACTCTTAGATGACTTTGTTCTGAGCTTGACAGATCGTGCAGCTCCTGGACTTTTTTATAGTTACTGAAAATTGTAATTTGGTTTCTGCTTGCTGTCTTCACATTGTGCATTTGATCCCATTTTTTTTTTATAATTTAGTGTACTCTCACTTGTTTCGATAGCCCTGACCGGGTTGAAAATGGATAACATTATGAATGAACATTATGATTCTTGAAAGTCTTAGAGACTTTTGGAAGAGACGCTTGCAGCTAGTACTTTCTCTCGTCGAACTCAGTATTTTGGCATTAGCCATTTTTCTTGAGGTTAAATAGCGCAATTAGAAGTTTGAGTCAAATTTTACTTAGGCCAGATGTTTCCGTCTCCAGCTATGAAACCACTTTAATTTGTAAATTCAGTTTCTTTTTTTTATATCCTCACGTGGCGGATTATAATTTGTAAGCACAAGATATACCATTGTTAAGTTCAAGATCTAAACAAAAAGGTATATTTAAAAACATTCTTGTGATTTTATTGTACATTTACAAACGGATAATATTCTTGCCAGTCTAGTACACCCTCTTTACTTTCACGTTTTCGTTTTCTCTAATACAATAACAATGTATACAAAAATAATATATTTTGGGTATTTTGAAGCTAAAGCTATCACTATCAAATCTGTTATGAATATGTATATTGTAATTTGAGAGTTGATTACAATTCACTGTACTAAAAATTCACAGTTATAGATTTACAAAGAATCATGGATAAATGGTTTCAGTGGGCGTAAGTGAGCATTAGACGATAATGAAAAGTCAACAAATTCACCGACGAATGTGGTTCCAAAAATAAAATCACGAAAATATTCCTAAGAGAGCTTAAGTTTTGTATTTAATAGTACTGAGATAAGAAGAAAGAAAGAAAAAATATTTCTGGGTGTCTAATACTCCAACGTTTTGGCCGCAGACGGCATGGAACTTAATAAAAGTAAATGACATTTGGAACCGCTTCATAATGAGTTCATAACGAACACGAGTATATTTAGAATTAAAATTAAACTCATAGGAAAAGCAAAAATCAGTTTTTAAAAATATTTTGTTTGGGAATGAAAAAGCTTTAGTCTCTTACAAAGTTTCATATGCTAAAACATCCAGATGTAAAAGTACTTAAAGAGTTGGTGGAAAGTTTATTTTACCAGCTGCAAATGAGATTGTAGAATTGTAGAACTGTATATCGTCTATAAAAATATATCGTTAAATGATTCTGTTACTCGTCGAATTGGGGATATAATTGAAGATTCTATGAGCTTTCAGGAAAGATGCGTGTCAACTCGGCTTCAGTTCAGCTTGATGAGTCAACAGATAGCAAAAAGTGCTCATGCCTATGTCTGATTTAGTGGTGGTATGTAAACAAGATGTATAGGAACTATTTCCTTATGTAAAAGGACTTACAGAGTTGGTGGAAAGCTTATTTTATCAGCTGCAAATGAGATTGTAGAATTGTATACCGTCTATAAAAATATATCGTTAAGTGATTCTGCTACTCGTCGAATTGGGGATATAACTGAATATTCCATGAGCTTTCAGGAAAGATGGGTGTCAAATCGGTTTCAGTTCAGCTTGATGAGGTAACAGATAGCAAAAACTGCTCATGCGCATGTCCGATTTAGTGATGGTATGTAAGCAACAGATATAGTAACTTTTTACTTACCAATCAGAGAGCATTAAATACAGAGGTAAATGATTATTTCGCTTCGTTATTAATACGCATAATTTTATTTGCATTATCATACAATAGTTATAAGCATTATTATTAGGCATACGCCTTCATTATTATTAGGCTTAGCATTTTCGTTCTTCCATCAAACTAAACCAAGTTATGGAATATCAACAGAGACGAGACTCTCGGAACGCCACCTAACGCCACCTATTGCCTTAGAACATAGAGATTTTTGCCTCTTGTCCTAATCGTGATTTGAGATTCTTTTTTGAATAAATGTACTTTGTATCCTTTGAATTCTTTTTCTTTCTTAGTCAGTCTTGTTCACATTTTTCATAGAATAACATCTCAAGGATTTATCATGCGTTTTGTGCCGATTTCAAACATTACTGCATAAATTTATATAAAAAAATATATTCCATTCTTACCTTTTGTACATCAAAACAGCAATATCAATAAAGTGTTTATGTACAATGCGGAAAAAAAAAAAAAAAAAAAAAAAAAAAAAAAAAAAAAGACAGCTCCATATTTCCCGTTCTACTGGGCTGATTGACGAGAAATTCACCTTGCGTTTTTCATGTCTCAAAAGCGTGACTTAGAATATGTATTAGATTTATATATAGCACTGTTTTAATATACGTTTTTTGGTACAAAGTCGGTTCTTTTCTGAACTAGCATGCCATCTTTTCCATATTTTGATTCTATGACTCCAATTATGCCAAACTGACAAATTTTGTAAAAATCGCACAAGCAGTTCTTAAAAATTAGCTCTCAAAAGTTTAGTTCCTCCATGTTAATTGAATGTGATATATATTTATTAATATCTTTTTTTTAAAAAAATACTTACTTGATTCCTTCTTCCAGAATTTGAAATTTAGGCTTAATTAAAATATAGTTCGCACAATTTTTATTATTTATTTAAAAAATTTGTATATTTAAGTATTTTTTATAAATTTTTCGAAAAATATTCTAAATTATAACCTATAACATTTTTTAACATTTTTACCATCATCTTAAGGTTTCTAAGCATATCTGAAAAAAAAAATTAAAGTTTTTTTTTTTTTTTTTTTTTTTTTTTAATTTCCTAAGATAGACGAATTTACATTTTGACGCGTTTTGAAATTTGACGTATTTAAAATAAGCGGTAATAATGGAAATTTGGTTTACGCACTTTGTCAAAATTATTTGGAAGAATGAACGAATGACCTTTTCTCCTCTTGTGCATGAAAGAAAAATAAGGAAAGTGAGTAGGTTACTATAAATTAAGAATTCCGCCGTGTGGCATCAACTGAAAAAAAAATCCGCCTAGATAAATTTTTTAAATTTCTTCACAAATTTCTCACCAAAATTTGCAAAATTTAATATCTAGGTATAGTTTGAGACGTAGAATCGATTTAAGGTAAAAATTAATATGTTATTTCAGAAAACGTCCAATTTTTGTGTCAAAATACTTATATTAGACTAACGCTATATATAAATCTAATACATATCCTAAGTCGCACTTTCGAGACATGAGAAACGCAATTTGAATTTCGTGAATAGACCCAGTAGAACGGGAAATACTTATCTACAATTCTGCAAATGATCTGGTATCAGTTATAGTATTAGAAAGTCCTCCGCGAAGGCATCCCTCCCCTTAGGCAGATAGCCCTAGTGTACTTTGCCGTATTCTCAATACACCAATACACCAATCAGTTATAATATTACCTTAACCTTTGTTAGCAATGTCATTGCAAATTAATTCATACACTGAATCTAACTCTTTGTTAAAGAATACCTGAAACCATAATTTAAGTGTATTTACAGTAATTTATAAAATAAAATCTAAAATATATAACTGTCAACCAAAATCTTTATAGTAAAAATAAACATTATAGCGTTAATTATTAAAGATATTATTGAGCTGGCTTAAGTTCCGTATTTTGAAACAACTTTCATTTATTTTCCTACTTGTTTAATGTATTAGGCAATGCTTTAAAAGCAAATATATGTTATGGTAAATTAAGCTGGTAAAGGCCCCAAAACTTACCTTTATTTAACATAAAATTCTGCAAATAAATGTAATTTCAAATATGGGGTTTAAATATTGATTACTTAACGGAGATATCAAATTCACTATAAAATGATACCGGCTTCCTGGAAGTTTCAAAATCACTTTCATTTTCTTAATACAGGAAACAAATATTTATTTATTGAAGCTACTCTAATGGATATACGAATGACTTAAAAATCTTTACAGTAAAAGCATTCACTGGAAAAATATCTTGAAAGGAGTGTTTCCGGAAATGGAACAGACATTTTTCCATTAAAATATGAAGCACTTTATATTTTTTCTATTTACTGTAATACACATTGCGATAAAATAAAAAAAAGATATCGAAGGAAATAGCAGGGAAAATGTTATAAATATCTGAACAAAGTTGTTCTCAAGCAGAATAAAAAATGTATACTTTTAAGTCAGAGCCAGTATTAGTTTTTAATTAATTTAATAGAGCATTCGTAAAAGATTTATACTGTTAATTTTCAAACCTTATATCCAGAATGCACAGTAATTTAATTGCGAATGAATAAAAAATTCTCGTAATATGAATGAAATAATGAAGAGTTTTAATAGTATATGTGAAATAAATGAAGAATTTTAATAGTATATGTGAAATAAATGAAGAATTTTAATAGTATATGTGAAATAAATAAAGAATTTTAATAGTATACGTGAAATAAATGAAGAATTTTAATAGTATATGTGAAATAAATGAAGAATTTTAATAGTATATGTGAAATAAATGAAGAATTTTCCTGAAATTTTATACTTTTTTTCAGAGTGCCGGTTTGGCAGCAGACTGTTAGTGTATTTAGATCCAAGAGCGAAACCTGTAGCCAATGCCTGCGTGGACAACGATCGCCCTCCACAGCGACCAGACGAGATAGAAGAATTTGACATTTTCTCACATACATGGTACAACGAATCTGGTGACAGTTTTAATGGACAGGAGAGAGATAGGCTGTTCATTGAGATGGTAGCACCTCCCCAGGCTGCTTCTTTCGTTATCCATTGGCTGGAAGTGACGAGGCCTTTCGTTCGAACTCAATCGGGACAGACACTCCGAAATGTAGATTGCTTATTCGAATGTCCTGAGATAGGAGCTTGCATTGATCCCGAACTGTGGTGCGATGGAACCCTCCACTGTCCATCAGGTTTCGACGAATCTCCAGAACACTGTAGATACTTCCCAGTAACGTATGTGTCTTGCATTGGCGCTGGACTGTTGGTGTGTCTTCTGATTTTCACATGGTTTACCATTAGACAACGTCGTAGTCGAAAATTGCTCAAAAAGAAAGAAATACGACAGTTACCGCAAGATGACTTTTGCCTCGAGAGTCCCCTTGGTTGAATCCATTTTCTATTTAAAGGAGTAATCGCCTGAAATATTCCATTAAATAATTTCACGTCCATCATTCTAACCGAAATCTTTTTTACCCCAACAGGTGAAGAACATTCCATTACTATATGGACCTTTGAATCATCCAAAGCATGCCAATTTTCAGGGTTCTTTCTCGTGTTATGTTTCAAGATGTGTTTAAAAAGGATATATAATTATTGCTACGCGCTGGGAACGGAAGGTCTGAATATGCATTTCGGACGTCAAGTATTTTAGTAAGCAAATTGAGTCTATAGATTCACATAAACGTGCAACTACTTGAAGGCATGCTTAATTTTGTTTGCTTCACAGTCAGACAACCTGATGGTTAAATGATATCATGCCCAGGGATATAAGAATATATGTACCTAGTTACCTGTAATATATGTGATTCTTTTCGACGGATATTTTGATAACTAACCTGAAAATTACTTTGTGACAAATTTATGCCAAAGACTACATTGTGTCTTAAAAGTGATGAATTCGTCGATAATGGTCTAATCACCTCTCATTACATACTTGAAAAATCATCTCTTGTATAATGATTTATGAATACTCCGAACATTCATAAAACATAGATTTTGATAGAATTGAGGCATAAGTATGAAACTTGAGATCAAAAATTGCCATACATGAGTATTAATTGCCGTAGTGAAATGGCTTACTTAACTGCGAGAAACACAGAATAAGTCCTTCTTGGCAGTGCAAAATGTTCATTAATATTGAACAATGTTGCTTTGGTGCTCAGACTTGCTCAATTAACGAATCCACGAAATGGTTGATTATTTTTACGAAATCTCATAAAGAACGTTTGAACTTCAGTAGAAGAAGTTTTTTAGAATCGTTTAAACAAATAATTGAATGATGTTTTTGATTTTCACGGAACATCTTTGCTGATTTTATATACATTTTGCACTCCTTTTGCAGAACTGCCAGTTACATTTCAGAAAATGTGTTTTAAAATTCATTGATTGTATTGGAATACGTGTTTTGGCTAAAAATTGCATTTTTATACTTGTACACTCCGCACAAAAAATGGGACAGTATTATATCTCCCGTTCTACTGGGGCGATTGATGAAATTTAACTTGCGTTTTTCATGTCTTGAAAGCGAAACTTATGCCTTTTTTTTCTGAAATGGCATATTTATTTTTTTTCCATATTCCAATTCTAAGACTCAGATTATGACGAAATATTAAATTTTGTAAAATTTGGTGAGAAAAATACCGAGAAATTTAAAAATTTATCTTGGCACGCTTTCTCAGTTTGCGTGAAGAATTGGTAATACTATGAATATTTTATAGTAACTTATTTTCCCTTCTTTTTTTTCATTGTGCATGGAAAAATAAAGGTGCATTGTTTACTCTTTCGAATAACTTTCGAGCAATTTTAATAAAGTGCATAAACTACATTTGGCGTTATTATCGTTTATAACAAATATGCCAAATTTCTAAACGAGGCAATGTATAAATTCACGTATATCTTGGAAAATTTTTGATAAGTTCTATTTTTTTTTTTTTTTTTTCATGTACGCCTCGAAATATATCTATTTTAACGTGATGGTAAAAATCTTGTAGGTTAAAATTCAAAATACTTTTTCGAAAAATTTATAAAATTATTAAACGATATAAATTTTAAATACAAATCAGAAAATAGCTGCAGGTTTTATTTAGATTGATCTTAAATTTCGAATCGTGTAAGAAAGTGTGTGTATTTAATTATGGCAAAGCACACGAGGGCTATCTGCCTAAGGGGAGGGATGCCTTTCGTGGAGGACTTTCTAAGGGAAACTGGCTCGTATACACGTTACACATGGGGAAAACCACGAAAACGCCCATGCAGCCAGCCCGTTCGCGGGATTCGAACCGCGGACCGAACTACCAGTGTTCAGCGACTTTACCGCTCGGCCGCTGGTGGGCCCGTGTAAGAAAGAATCGTGTAAATTTAATAAACAAAGATATATTCATAAACATATACCAAATTCAATTAACATTGAGTAGCTAAAATTTTAAGAGCTAATTTTTAAAAAAAATCTAAATTGGAAATTTTACAAAACTTGGCATTTGGCCTAATATGACATATTGTCCCATTTTTTCCTTCGCAACGTGTACAGATGTTTAATAATTTTACTTATATTGTTTGCTATTTTCTAGTATTTATTGTTATCTGTTTAGTTTATCAAATGAAATGTTTTGTCTGATTTCTTGAATACAAATTGCTAAAAAATTGCGTGGTTACTTCATGTCGTAAACTATGTAATTTCTGCTTCAGCAGGAAAATACCACTAATTATTGCACTAAGCGAGTCAATCTTTTAATTGTTCTAATCAATTCTTTAGGCTGAAGATTTCACTTAAGAGCAAACATGATGGAGCTTCATTTTTTGAGTCTTCAGAAAATGCAGTCAAAACATTTAAAAATATGCTCCTTTTGCTGTTGTATTCCAGCGTAATGTTTCATGATGAATTTTAAAATTGTACATCTGATGATTCAAACTCATTGTAACATGTATTTGCAAACCCGTGTTCTGCGAAAAGGCATCGTATTTATATATTGAAATATGTAAACTATGTCTATAGCTATTCTTCTCAATTTTATATTTTCGTCATAATAATAACTAATGTATATAAAAGTTCATTTTTAAAATCAATTGAGGAATTATTTGATTTCAGGATACCAAAAATGTCAAAATGATTCATTAGGCATTCAGAGACTGAAGCGAAAGTTTTGATTTATGAACATAGTGTTGTTGCTGTGACTAATCTCGCTTATGTGACGTCATCATCAGAATAATCCCAGGAAATTTATCGTGGCAAAGAGTACAAGATCACGTCTGACGTTGGCAAAAGCCTTGGGCACGATATGGGTGACAATATGATATTTCCCAGTCTCACCCCGATTTTGTGAGGCAGCACCCCGGGGGATGTGTCAAAAGGTCAACTTCCCTTACCACTAAACCCACACGAGAGAATTTTCCCTTCTCCACACATTTAGAGTGTCCCCATTCCGCAAAGGCACTATAGATTTACAAACATCTGAGCTTTCTCCAGGATTCGAACCGGTACCCTTCCGTACGGTAGTCAGAGTCACTAACCACCGCTCCGTTTGGGCGGTATTTATGAATGATTAAGTTTAAGCAATGATTTCAGATAAGCATTACACTTACAACTGGAATTAATATTTTCAAAGAAATACCACAAAGCATTATTGAAATTCCAATACATACATATACAGTAATCACGCTTAACTTTTCAGTTAGAAGGATCTTACTAACTTTTTAGTTAGTAAGGATCACGCTTAACTTTCCAGTTAGTTATGCTTATTCAAGTTTATTCATTATTCATAATTTAACTTGTTAATGATGTTTAGATGGTCCCTTTGTATAGTTGTGCTAATAATAAAATTTAATTGATTAGTCTGCAATTATCAGAGAAATTAAGGTAATAAGTGTTCCACAAGTCTACTTTTATAAAACAAATTATAAAAATAATACAGTTAATTAAATTTATGACACGCACACCTGATAACATTAAGGTCAGGTAAGTTTGCTAAGGGTTAGTTTTCGTGTATTAAGTGATCATTTTCTGGAGTTACTTTATGATACCGCATAACTCGGTTAGCAATGTACAAGTCCGAAGATTAAGGAGATCCTAAATAATTCCCGTCTGGTGCACATAAAATCAAAATTTCGTACATATTATTATTGCCAAATTTTGAAAACATGCAATGAAAGAACATATTTTCAGAAAATGAAGCTATTTTTGATACTTTTTAGTTAAAATTACTCACCTCTTCACTCTTTTTGCTGTACCTCATTGACATTTTTCTTCGCAGCCAGGTGTCCAGGCAACTCATAATTACTTTCTGTATTCCTTTGCCATGCAATGATATTTGTATAGGTGTTTCACCATTATGACACTACCAATATTTCCAATATTTGCAATCCAAAATTTATTAGAAATTTAATAGTAAGTAAGATCAAATAGTAAGAAAAATATAAAAGTTGTTCTTAAAAAGCACGAATTAGTTAATTCATTTATGACAAAAAATACTGGTATCACTTGCATAGGAACTAGACTGGATAATTTAATTACGGAAAAGCACACTAGGGGCGCTTATCTAAGAGGACAGATGCCATTTTAGAAGACATTCTAATTGACTATTGGTTCATATTCACATCATGCATACGGCAAACCACAAAGAGCTCATGTAGACAGCTCCTTTGCCAGGATAAGAAATACGAGTCGAAACACCAATAGCCACTCGACCATTTGGTGGGCCATATCAGCAAAAGCTGAGAGATACCATTTTAGAAGACATTCTGATTAACTATTGGTTCATATTCAAATCAAGACACGGTGAAACATGAAAGGCAAAGGCCTGGCATGCCAGGATGAGAAATAAAATTTGAAACACCAATAGCCACTCGACCGTTTGGTGGGCCATATCAGCAAAAGGTGAGAGTTATCATGTTAAGATAACTATATTTTTGTTGCATACAAGAAAAGCTAAGAAATCCGTTATGCAACGATCCTGTTCAGCCAGCTGGAACCCAATGAGGAGCGAACTATCTTCCTGTTGTTTTAACATATTAATAACTGTTAGACGTTTTGCAAAAGTTGAGATATTTAAGAGGAAAATAAAAAGCTGGACAGCTATGGTGAATCATTTTGACATAATACCATTTTCATCACTCTGTATGTGTTTATTCTTAGCAATAGCCAAGGACATGTTCTTTTGCTTCATTTTACTTAAATTTGTTATATTCTTGCTTCATTAACATAATGTACTACTCACAAAGCTGAAAATGGTGCTACAAAATGCATGCAATATTTCTTATACATTTTCCGATCATTAGCTGGAAATGTTATAGCTTTTCATTGCATAGCAGCCCTGATATTTATATTAATTCAACGTTGTATATCATTTACCAAGAATTCAATAGAATATTACAGTCTGCAACTTAAAACAATAAACACATGTCGATGATAAATCGTTCTTTGCCTTCCCGTGATGTTTAAAATGAAATGTCATAATGTAAGTTCATGCAAAATATTGTGAACATTGTACATTTTAACGGGACTTTTAACGATATCTGCATGACAGTGGTGTAAAACCATGCTTTTTGTATGCATGAAAATGTTCATGACAGTTTGTTGCATGTCTACAAGTATAATCGTTATAAAAAGATTTTATAATTTTACTGGAATATTTGATTTAAAAAAGGATTTTTCAGACGAAAATACTTTATAATGTATTTACCGTAATACATAAATGTAAGCATGAAATTACTAAAGTTTTTTTCACATGGAAGCTTTGTAAATTATAGCCTAGTTTTTGCTAATTTTGTATTGGGTTACAATTAAAATTTTTAATAAATAACAGTGAATGGCAAAATTAGTTACTGCAGTTCAAAAGCTTATTTCTTTTATTTAAATACTGTTATCAAAGATATGTTACGTTTCTAAATAAACGGTCTGCTCGTAACATTTTTTAGATGGTTTTTCATTTTGATTACAGATACATTTTACCTAAACGTTTTATGTTTTAAGTGTTCTATTTGATAATACTTATTTTTACATTATTTCTGTAATTCTTGAGTTTCAAGACAATAAAGCTTTTATTAGCGGAAGAGGAATTTATTCCCATTATAATCGAGCAGCTTTCCAAAGTCTATGTAGGCTGTCGGTCGACGATTCGACAACCCGCGTTTTAAAACTCCAAAAGAAAAAAGATATGATGTAGTTCATTTCTTTTACCATTTCTTCTAGGAAATTAAAGTAGATTTTAATGTGTTACTGCTTTCTTTGTCTTCACGCAGTTCTAATGATTGGTCACATTTTGTATAAATAGAAGGTATTTTATATGTGTAAAAATCTGTTTTGTATAATATGGTAGTCGACCTTACCATTTTGTCCACCCTCTTTTAGTTTGACGTTATGTGAAAAACCAGCAATAAACATAAATCACTTAGAAAAACTTCCTTTATATTCTTTGGAACATGTTTTAAATTTCCTTTCTCCTCTTGATGATAATGGATGGATTTCTTTTTATTACAGTCATTTAAGTATATACAGGGTGATCAGCGAATAAGCCCTGATTTCGAAATTAAATATTTCTACAACAAAGATCGATAGAATTATGCGGTAAACTGTACGCTTATTGGCAAAACTGTAAAAATGGTGTACAAGAGTTTAGAAAATTTGGTTACAACAATCGTTAACAGATGGCGCTGTAATCGCAATGACCTATCAATAGCCTTTAAAAATGTGCTTTGAATTCGAAAGTGATCAGTACGACTGTTGGTTAGTGAAAAGAGGCTAGCGCAGAAAATGAAATAATGTATTCCATTGAACAACGTGTATTTTGGTTCTGGAATTTCACCGATTAGAACATACTCCTACGGGAACACGTCGCAGTTTTCAAAACCGATTCAATGTTTCAGTTGGACTCGATGCGAAAACCATTTGCATGCTCTTCGCGGAATTTGAACGGACTGGCAGCGTGACTGATGATCAAAAGGGAAATGTTGGGCCTAGGCAAACTGTAGTCACTCTTGGAAATGCAGCCAACGTTTCTGGAATTGTTCAGCAAAATCCTAGGAAAAGCATCCGACGGATGGCATCAGAAACAGGTTTGAAGTACAAGAGCATGGACAAAAAATATTCAAAAATAGCCTACGGATCTATTTCCATACAAAAACTCCAAAGTCATCAGGCCATTGCCCATGAAAGCTGTGCAACAAAGGACTGACTTTGCAGAATCAGATTCTAACAATGGTCGACAACGACAGATTTCATGTGAGCTGCATCTGGTTCACA